GGTGCCACGTTTGTGTTAGAGCTGAGATGTGTCAACGAGTGAAGAGGGAGAGGGTCGGTCTTACAAGTGTCCGGGGTCGTTTGTAACCAAGGCTGATCGACGTCGAATGAAAATCGTTTCTCAGTCGTAACTACTCTTTTGAACCTGAATTTATTGTTCACTCGCGTACACCGGGACTCTGACTTCTTGCAGTGAGAGCACGGGATGTCGCCATCACCTAGAAGCCAGGAGAGGTTAATACAACCGATTAACAGATACGTTTACCGTGAAACCTCAACCCAGGACAAGTTCCGATGGACGGGAAAATTGGATATTGTCTTACATTTCAGATGTTTTTCTGTGTCCCAGCAATCGATCAAATCAGTTCTCGACGTTCACTTGACATCACCAAAATCAAAACAAGGGGTGATGTTGAGGATTTCAGCCCGCGCATTCCGCGGCTTGCTCGGGGTGCGTGTAAGACGGCATTATATCCGATAATCAAGACGGAAAAATCACCAATCATCGAACTGGCAATCCCGCAATCCTACTTACCTCTGCATTTCACGCAGGGCACAATCCGCTCGCGTCTCTGTGGTGGAGCCATCCCTTCCCGTCCCGGAGAAGGACAATCAGACCATGGCTAAGATTAAGGAGTGAAGGATGATGGGAAAGAGGAGACGGGATGCATAGGATGGCGCTCAGGTTGGCAGCATTTCGCCGATGAGCTGCTCAGTGAGATGGGGCGGTAGAGGGCATATAAAGAGGGACATCACTCGGCGAAAGTAGCGGCATGTGGCCTAGCCGTGGCTTAGTTAGCGGCCTATCCATACGCTGACTCGCCCTACTCCACGCTGTTCTCATGTTCTTCTACCTAAGCGTGCTACGTTAATTGTTAGGGTTTCCCCTCAGCCCGTATCCGTGCGTGACGCCTCGGATGAGTGTCGGTTTCGCTCTTCTGCATTTCAGTCAAGGTCTGCTAAATAGGCCTGATTGGACAGAAGTCCTTCATCTGGCTATTCGCAAACGGGTAAAGTGAAGTGCTTGCGAGCGTTTCCGTAACGAGCAGCGCGCCTATGTTCTGTCTGCCACCCGAATCCTCGTTTCGTAGAGGGGAAAGGTGGAACAATGACGCCCCCAAGACAGTGGCTACAGACACCATGCCTTGGACAAGACGGAGCCAGGGGAGCCCGCAGATGCAAGATCACTTGATATGACACTACAATGAATTACTTCAGGTTGTAATAAGCGCAGTGGGTGCTCCGCGTCTTCTCATATTTCACTAGACATTTCTCATCAAATCGCTACATCATGATTCTTTCGATTGACCTCAACTCAAGCCCGGGACACAGTGACCGAGTTGTACTTGGGGTCGGTCCAGACTTCTTCTACGATGCGGCGGCGGATATCCTGCTCCTCAACCACGCTATTATCACCAAACAGCTCAGAAATCTGTTCGAGAGACTTGTGGGCAGTCTCGGGCACCAAGAAGAAGGAAAAGACACCCGCGGCAACACAGAACAACCCGAAGAACAGATAGGTGCCCCATCCAAGCTTAATGACCATCTCTGGTACGCAAACGCCGATGATGAAATTAGCCAGCCAGATCATGGCAGTCGCAGCGCCAACGCCCTTGGCGCGTTTGGAGTTAGGAAAGACCTCGGCAGGCAACGTCCAGGCAAGAGGGCCGTAACTAAGATAGCACCAAGTCAGCACGTGAGTATGATATCGAAACGTGGTCGTCAACTTACGAAGTCGCATAGCAAAGGACGTAGATATCTGCAGAACGTGTCAGCAATTGTTGTTTACAATCAAAAACCCGGATTAACTTACAGATGAGAGCGACACCAAACCAGCCCATTGCGGGGTGCTCATCCCACGACGAGCTGAACTTGCCGACAACCCCAGCCATGATCAGGTGGGGAACAGCCATCGCAAAACCACCACCAATGGCGAGCTTTCTGCGACCAACTTGATCGAGGAAAAGGAACGTGGGGATACCGGCAACAAGCTGGCAGATGTTGACCATGCCGGAGAGAATAAGGGGCATGTCTCCCTTTTGTCCCAGAGCGGCGAAGAACGTTGGCGCGTAATACACAAACGCGTTGATCCCACTGAACTGAAATGGCTGTCAGCACTATGACATCAGGCAGCGCCCATCACGGATCATTACCTGTTGGAAAAAAGGAATACCAAGGGCGATAGTCGTGCGCTTCAGGTATCTGGGCTTGAAGAGGTCTGCCCACTGATTCAACTCTGCCGTGAAAGCGTTGGAGCTTGGGTGTTCCCGAGCGAGCATGGCCTGCTGGAAGCGAACTTCAGACAGGATTCCCTTCCACTCGGCCTGGACTCGCTCGTCTGTTGGTGGGACCCGGCGCAATTTGGTCAGAGACCCCAGACTGTCTTCATCACGACCCACCATGGCAAGCCAGCGAGGCGAGAAAGGGAAGAAGTGGATTCCAAGACCAACCATCAGGGCCGGGGCCATTTGCAGAGCAAAAGGCAGTCTGAATGCCCATTCTCCATCCATGTGTCTTGTTGCAAATGTGATCCAATACGCAATGATGGCACCGATTACGATGCTGATAGACTCGAGTACGAGGAGGGAACCGCGAAGGTTTGGGGGCGCAATTTCTGAGATGTAGAGCGGCGCACCCATTGCCAGAGTCCCGACTCCAACGCCACCAATGGTGCGGCCCGCCACAAGCGTTCCGTAGTTGTGAGCAGCGGTCTGTATAATAGCCCCCACGCAGAAGAAGAAGGTTGCAATAGTCAGAGCCCACTTGCGAGAGATCTTGTCGGCGAGATACGGGAGGAAAAGGCAGCCGATGAAGGCTCCGAACTCGAGCATGCCGGTCATGAACCCGGTGTAGAAGCCATATCTGGGGCCGCCTGGGGCAGTCTCGGGAAACCACTCGTGAAACTGTGGCATAACGAGAATGATGGAGATGACACCCTGGTCTTGTGGGTGTCAGCAAGGTGTTCAGAACTGTCGCACTTTAGAAGCAAAGTCCGGGCCCTTACCGTAGCCAAACGAGAAGCCACCGAAAGAGGCAAGCAGCGCGGCACCTAGCACGTACGGCGAGCGCACAATTCCCTTGATGCCATCACTATCGTAGTTGATAGGCGCATCGGCCTGAGCCAGGATGGTATTGTTCACATCTTCGACTTGGCTTTGAGAGCCGCTGCGAGAGGCTCGCTTTTCCAGATCGGACATGGCTGGTACGTCGTGGAGAGAAGATGAGGGCTAAGTACGTTTAACAAGGACAGTCAAGAGAATGAGGTAAATCACAGCTGTCTTGACCAAAGTAGCAGCTTCTAAGTTGGTGACGCGACTCGAAGACTGGCAAGAGGCTTGTCCAAGCATAAACTCATCTAAACATACTCTGATGAACTCTTTATACTTTCGACACGTCCAAGCTTTCTAGATAGCAGACCGTCGCGAACCTTGGCACGGGCCTATCCAATGATTTTGCATGTAATCAGAGTGCGGGGAGCAGCATCTCGAGAGGTTCTGGGGAAAGATGCCCGAGAGCTAACGATGTCCCCCATGGGGAAGAAGCCCTGTTACACTTTGCATTTGGCATAGCCATTCCCGGGAGTTCGTTGATTAGGATGCCAAGAATGATGCAGCTCGTGGTTGGCCGGGTTTGCGACAAGGAGCATATCCGCACATCATCGTGCAAAGGATATGTGTTGACCCGCCGAAACGGCATGGGCTTGAGTCGGGCTGACTCTGTCGAGACTAGCAACTCTGTCACCCAAATCGAGAAGGTTTTCGCCGGAAATCCGGCGGTTCTTTTCCTTTTTAGGACAACTGGAGGCCGGGCCCCGACTACTCCACTCCGCAAGTGAAATTCAAACTCCACCTCGGCACTCCGTACTAGGCCATTGCGCACAAGACTAAAGACACTGGCGTCATCTCTAACCTTTCTTGAGACGTTGAATCCAACAATGGATCCGGCAGGGAGGTAGATGGGCTTGACGTTAGTCTATCATCCCGATGTGCAGCATGCGGAGGTCCTATCATGCAGCTGCACCAGTGGTAACCCATGAAATCTAAGTTAGCAAGGCTTATGACGGCACAGCTGTAGTCAAGTCACTTACCATTGTGAATCACACGGAAGACACCCTGGCATATAGCAATCTTAAATCAAGTTAGATATATGTCAGTTTCCGATAATAGTCCGTTGGACCGGGTCATCGGGATGTCCAGTCTTGCCAGCTACATCGCCGTGAATGACTGCATATAGAAGCCAACGACAAGAGCGCCGAAAACTGCCTAAAGAAAAAAGAAAAGAAAATTAGAATTATGTCTACATCACGGTGATTAGTATTCCATGAACTCTCTTCTGGATTATCGAAGATAAGCAGAAGGCGGCAGGGTGGCCCGGCATGAATCCGTCTGGGAATCACTCTCAATGGTTTCCATCTCAAACTCAAGAGATTGAGGAGATTCATGATGAATCAGAAGCCTCCAATCATCATCTAGAACGTGGAAAACTTGGTTGTAGTTTTTCGGGCAAAGTGCCGTTATGAAGCTGGACAGGAACTGCCAATAATATCTCCTACATCTGAGACGCCTTTTATGAATAATGATATCAAGAGTTGATGGTCGAAAAGTTCAGGCCTTAGATGAATGACTGCGTAGTGAAGACGCCTAAAAGTACTCGGGAAAGGGTCTGGTCTACCTCAAAGAAGATGCACAAGGCGTCTATGAAAATTAAAATCTTGATCCCAAAGGTGCTTCCGTTCGAAGTACTCAAAGCCCGTAAACCTTGCAAGCAGCCACACGCTACCCATCAATGTTCAAGACTTCCAGCCTTCAGTATGGTGCAAGCTCACATGGAAAGTTTAACCCATTACTCACTCAAATTCTTAGTCTTCAGATGCACTCCCTCCCCATCTACAGCTGCACCTGTCATGCTCGCTGTTTCCATCGACTGTTATTCCCGACTTCTCTACTACCTTCTAGTTACTACAAACCCCAAGAGACATAGCCGAGTAGGCCGGAATCCAATATGCCTCCAGTTTCCTCCAAGGTTACAGTTTTCTTCGACCTTGATGGCACTTTGTTCGATCATCACCACTCACTCAGCTGCGGTATTTCAGCGATACGTCAAAAGTATCCCGCCCTTGCGAGCTTCGACTTGACAAGTCTCATCACTCAGTACAACACATCGCTTCAATCAGCCTACGACGAGTATCTCCAAAAGATCATAACGTATGAGGAAACCGATTACAGGAAGGTCCGGTTATTCTTTCAGGGTTTAGGCCTCGATGTCCCAGACGACGCAAAGATTGCCGAATTGCGGGACATCTATAGACCAGCTTATCGCGGCAGCCGAAGAGCGACGCCGGGAAGTATCGAGACACTTGTATGGCTGCGGAAGAAAGGTGTCTGTCTGTGTATAATTACAAATGGTCAAGCAAAGGACCAACTAGAGAAGGCGACAGCCATCGGGGTGCAGCATCTTGTAGATTACATGATCACTTCAGAAGAAGCAGGTTGCTGTAAGCCAGACAAGGGTATCTTCCGACTCGCCATCGACGCTTTCGGCTGTTGTCTCAGCGAGACCTATATGGTTGGTGACTCTGTAGGGTCCGACATTAGGGGGGCGCTTGACATCGGTATAAATCCCATCCTCTTTTCGCCAATTTCAACAGAAAGCCACCTGACAGTCAGCGGGAAGACGGTACCCATTATACACAACATGTCTCAACTCGTCGGGATGATTGAGGTATCTCTAGGGATGCTTGACTGAGTTCCTTACGCCGCGAGCGCCGACTGGCGGTGAAGAATTGGTAAAGAATCGGGGGACTTGATGTGGTACGAAATCGGAAGGCTGCATTGAGTATTTCACACTCTGAAGATCTCTTATGTCCGAAGAGATAGTGAAAAAGGAACGAGCAACTTGAATACAACCGTTTCCTATGTAAGGTAGAGAACGTCCTATTGATACAGCTGCTACATCTTACCCAAAACAAGCTATCACTATTCCACCTTTCTCCGCCAGATCTTAACCGGCAAAGCTCCACAGATGATGTTGAAAGCCTCATGTCTCTGCAGCACAAAGTCAGGTGAGGGTAGAGCGAACTCATATCTGTGAACCAGCGAGGCCAAAACCATGATCTGTTCTAGGTACGAAATATTCCTTCCTATACAACCCCTGGCTCCAGTTGAGAATGGGATGAAATAGGGCTCCATTCGCTTGCTCTCTTCGGGGTCAAGCCATCTCTCAGGCTTGAACGCCTCGGGGTCTGGGAATATCTTAGGGTCCCTATGAGCGCCGTATATTGTCATCGATACACTTATGTCGCCAGGAATCCACTCGTCCAGAATACGAGCACCCTCTGGTGGTGTGCGGCGGGGAAGAGGTGCAGAGGTTGGCGGGATGATACGAAGAGCTTCGTCGATGCAAGCCCGTAGGAATGGAAGATCTTTGACTTTGTCATAAGAAGCAATGACTTCATCAGAGTCCAACACGCTGTCAACCTCTTCGCGAAGCTTCTTCATATTGTCCGGGTGCTTGATCAAAATCTCGAGGATGTGCGTCAAGGCGATAGCTGTAGTATCCGATCCAGCGTTGATGATGGCGCCGACTTCCGCCACGATTTCACCCCAATCGAGGTTGTTTGGGCTTCCAGTCTTGTCTTCCATCATATAAGTAAAGAAGTCGTCGAGCTGCTCCCCGCTCTGATATCTGCGCAACCTTTCGGCAGCGGCATGGTAATAACAATCGTCCCATGGCTCAAAGTCCTTCCACATCTTCTGCCATCGGCTGGGGATCGTCTTTGACAGCCACTCTACCCATGGCCAGAGATCGTAGTCCCACACAAAAGCCGCCTGTGCGATGGCTCCTTGGTTCATAGAGTGACGATATCGGGCTTTGTAAGTTGTGCCATCGCGCTTCTCGGCTGTTACAACATCTGTTCCGGTATCTAAGAGGTCCATTTGAGTCGAGAGAGTGATGTAGTTGATCGCTTCGATTGTCCAGAGGTTGATCCAGTGGTTGAAGTCAATAGTCAGGTCCGCAGGACAGGGGATGGTGCCTTTGAGAGGATCGGTGCATTTTCCGTCAAAGACTTTGAAGAGTCTTTCAGCCGTGTAAGCGACCTTGTTCTCCCATTTCTCAAGGTTCTTGATAGCAAAGGCTGCAGAAAGTAGCTTGCGTTTGCGGGCATGTTCGGGCTTATCCACTACATCAAAAAGGTGGCGATGCGTCCCACTTAAGACAACATAATTGTTATCTTTGACGCACTTGGTGCTGTGTCCGTAGATGTCTTTGATAGCTCTAGTATCTCCAAAAGACAGCGCGTTGGGGCCTGTCCTCAAGATAGGAAAGCCGGTGTTCTTGTGTGATTCGTACAGTTCCTTAGATCTGAACCCCTGGGCGCTGAGATAGCAGTGCCTGAGGTCCGTCAACGGTGATAGGGGCGAGTAGTTGGGGTATTTGCGAAGTCCCTTGGGGTCGTAAAAATACAAGATGATAGGTCGAATGACGAGATAGGAAATGACTGCAAAGGCAACACCTGCCAGCGCAAGAAGACCGAGCATAGTGAAAATCAGACCAACATGAAGTGTGTATGTAGAGGCTGTTACTGTGAAGTCGCTGATGAGATGTCTGGTAATTTTCTGATCACCACGACTAATCCCCGTGGGATGTTAAGGAAGCGTCTTATATCTCACTTTCGATGACTGAGGTCAGGAATCGGTCCAAATCATCTGCAGTTGCTACACAGGCACGCGTCTGTCACAAGGCATCCAAATCGAGTCTTTAGTTCCGCGGGATACACATAGCGATGGATTAACTGCAAAAGCAAGGAACTACAGTGAACGATACAAACGGCAACTCAGTCCGCAATGATACATCTCAGAATACGAGGCAAGGGACGCGCGGATGTTAGAAATATTCTGAAATGAGGGGTTGGGCGATTTCTCGAAGGAGAAAGATATCGCCGAAAACTCGGTGTTGCGGATTTTGGAACCATCTCGAGATATTTTTCGGCGAAACATTTCCTAATCTAATTGCACGACGATCATATATGAATGCTGGCAGGGCCTAGTCGATGTGTCACCTCGCGGCCGACCTCCCCGCATGCGGGGCGGCACTTTCACCCCGTGGGGGAGCGAACATCATCTCAATATCTCCAAGGCTGAATGGGCGTCGGAGGCTCAAGGATGACAAGGAGTACGTATGTAAACCAGAGAATCGGCGAAATTATCCAATTGTGTCAGGCAGTACATGTCTGAAGCCCATCGAGCTGAATTTCTTGCGATGGTCACCTTGGCGTCAGTCTTCGGCATTCGGAAACACATGCTCATACTCGGTTTTCGACAGTGGGCTACTATTTGTTGAGAATCCTCGTCATACAAAATGCAAAAATAGACTCTGTTCTTGGGCGCTATTCCACAACACCGGACATTTCCCCCTTCTTTTCAACCCGACTCCTCCAATTTCATTGCCCAGTATGGAGGCCTACTTCGGCATAAACAACACCCAGAATTGCCTTTTTGCTAATGCTATCAACCTCGTCTCCAAGAAAAGTAGCTTTGACGATATCTTTCTCTTACCTTTGGTTGTCTTGGGCTCCATATATGTCTTCAACAAAGGAAGCCTTCTGCCGAGGAGAGACCCATATCGCTATAAGTGGTTTGAGAAACCACAACTGCAACGAACTCAGAATCTCCTTATTGAAAAGAAGACACGCAACATCTCGGAAAAGATCGAAGAGCTCCAATCTGATATTGTCATCTTTTGGGGCTCCCAGTCCGGCACCGCAGAAGCCTTTGCTCACCGCCTTGCTCGAGATTTCCACCAAAGATCCAAGCTCAACGCTCTCGTAGCAGACCTGTCCGACTATGACCCAGAGACTGTTTCTCTTATTCCGGGGTCGAAGCTTGCTGTGTTTATCATGTCGACCTACGGTGAGGGCGACCCAAGCGACAATGCTCAAGACTTTGTTAGTTGGGCTGACGCAGCCACTGGTGTCTCCCTCGCCCAACTCAAATACGCCGCATTCGGTTGCGGCAACAGCAACTATCGCTTCTACAACAAAGTCATAGATGATGTCGTCGTCGCCTTGTCCAAATTCAACGCCACCGCGGTTCTACCCACTGGCAAGGGCGATGAAGCTACCCGGACGACAGAGGAAGACTTCATGGACTGGAAAGAGAGCCTTTTCAAGACTCTGGTCTCCAATTTCGACTACCAGGAGTATGAAGTAGCATACGAGCCCAGTGTAGGTATTGTTTCGAGCGACAGCAATGACTTGCATAAAGGCGAACCGTTCTACAAACCGCATTCGAGAAAGGCAACCACACTCCACTCTCCTATTGCTTTCCTTCCCGTCAAGGCTAAGCGAGACCTCGCGAAATACGACGAGAAAGGCCGTAGTTGCATTGATCTTGAAGTGGATCTCACTGCTCAACCCGAAATCAAATACAAGACTGGAGATCACATCGCTATCTGGCCCGTGAATCCAGATGAGGAAATCAGCCTTCTTATTCGCATTCTCGGACTCCAATCTCAGCAACTAAAAGCCATCTGCGTTGTACTCCAGTCGGCAGACAAGGAGCCAAAAGTTCCCAGTCCGACAACAGTGCAGGCTTTGTTCCGGCACTATCTGGAGATATGTTCCGCAGTTCCTCGCGAGACAGTTCTATCATTGGCTCAATTCGCACCAAGTCAAAAGGTTAAGTCGGAGCTGATGACAATCGGCAATGACAGGGCGGTTTACTCCAAGTTTCTCGAAGCAAACCATTTGACCTTGGCCCGACTTCTCGAGAACACTATTGCCGTCGACCCGGCAGTCACATGGGCTGGTTTACCACTCTCATTCATCATCGACTTCCTACCTGCCATGCAGCCACGTCTCTATTCTATCTCCACTTCACGCATCACATCACCCCGAAGTGTGGGTCTGACTGTGTCAGTTAAGCCGTCGCAATTACTCGGAAATCAAGATATCACAGTCCCTGGACTCACGAGCACATATTTATCTGGACTTCAACCTGGGAGCCATTCTCCGTCAGAAACAGCTTTAATGGACTCATGCCGTGTTCATGCTCAGATTCGTGGCTCAACATTCAAGCTGCCGTTCCTTTCATCAGTGCCTCTGATCATGGTGGCAGCCGGTACTGGAGTTGCCCCCTTCCGCGCATTTATCCATGAGCGAGCTAGACTTGCTTCTGTAGGCAAAGATGTCGGCCGAATGATGCTGTTCTTCGGATGTCAGAACGAGAGCGACTATCTCTACCGTGACGAGTTTGCGGAGTGGATAGCTGGACCCCTCGCCAAGAAATTGGAGGTGGTGACAGCGTTTTCAAGGGCAAGCAATGAGAAGTGCTATGTTCAGAACAAAGTGGAAGCCAGAGGTGATGAAGTTAGGAGAATGCTGCTGGAAGACGATGCCGCTTTCTACATCTGCGGTGCCGCGAACATGGCGAAAGCTGTTGGCATGGCGGTCCATGGCGTCGTGAAACAGACGAATAGCTGGAAAGACTCTGAGGTCGAAAGCTGGAGACAGGATAGGAAGAAGTCAAAAAGATGGTTTGAGGATGTTTGGAGTTAAGACCGAGAAATGGTTCGCAGATAGTTTCCTCCGCTCAAGTGTGTTAGCTATCCCTTCGTCAATATTGGGATGTCAAAGCTCAGCCTGAGGGATTTTCAAGAATAGTGACTTGTCTTCTTATGCTCTGCCGTCTCGCAACTAATTTTATACACTGGCACTGTAGTATTCTGGTCTGTTGCACAATAATGACGGCTTGCAAGCTCGTCCTCTGTTACTCTGTGTCATTCTGTTGTAGTAATTTCCTGACTTTTTGTCCCCTCACGCCTTGTGGTATGCTGAGAAACCCAGCTTGTTGACCATAATGAAGGCCAATCAGGCTCTTTCTCGTGATCAATCTTAGTAAGATAGACGCTGATTCACTCAGTGTCGATGTTGATGCATGTTTCGACCTTGATGAAACCAAGTCCACTCATTTTCGACAACTCTCCGTTAACATGAGTCATGTCGAACGAATCATCCTCAAAGAAGTCGTGAGGAAGATGAGATGACGGATCATATTCTTCCATGATCTTGATAGCCTCATTGACAACGTCATACCCAAAGTTGAAAGCCAAGTTTTCTTGCGGATTTTCTGCGAGATGTTAGTGGCAAAGTCCCTATCTCATCTTCACGGGCAACAGCAGTAACATACTCGGGATCTCATCTGCTGCGACAAATTCCAAAAGGTCCTTCTCGACGAGACTGGACTGGTCGGTTCCGACGTTGCTGAGAATTTGAATGGCACTGGCACGGTTTCGACGGATCTTCTCAAATAGGTCCAACCTCTTCTCGAGATCAGAGTTATCAGACACACCTGCAAACACGACACCCAGAGCCAAACCATCTTCGAGACCCATGGCACCGCCTTGCCCTTGATCTACGCACAGACGATATATCAGCGACTAAATCAACGAGGATAAAACCGTCCATACGGTGTAGCACTCACGAGGTAGCATTGGATGCGCCGCATCGCCGGTTATGACCATCTTCCCTTTCCGCCAGGTCGGTAGCGGAGCACGGTACAACAGTGGCCATCGCTTGATCTCAGTTGCTTTGCTGATTGTGACGTTAACCATGGGTAATCGGCGCCTATCTTCGACGCGACCTACTTGATAATAGCCAGTAGGCTTGGATGAAACCCAGCAAACTTTTCAATTACTTGCGCTTTGTCGACATCGGCTTGATAATCTAACGTCACGGTATGAGTAAGCCTCATCAACTCCCAGACGGTTCCTTGAGTGGTATTTGCACAAACCTTCACTGGAAACGTCCTTCATGTCTTCATCGTAAAATATACCCACGAAGTTGTGGATGGTGTTGCTAATAGGTCAGATAGAGTCCATCTCTCGAGGGCACAATGCACCTACTTGCGGCATGGATATGACACTAGCCTCCTATTGGTCTTGTTGTCGGGGAAAAGACGGATGAGTCCATCAGCGTCCTCATTCCAAAACTTGGTCTCGGAATCTTCCTCAAGAACTTCGGCAGGAATCAAGAAACGGTAGCAGCAATTATGGAGAAGAGGCGCAACGGCAGGATTCTTGCGGCCGAGGACAGTCTCAGCCGCAATAGAGTGAATTCCATCTGCACCAACAACCAGGTCACACTCAATTTCGTCACCATCTTGGAGATGCACAGCTGGCAACTCAGGATTCTGTAAAACAGTCAGCAAAAAGAGCAACCATCGCGGTGGAAATGTTGGCAGGGATCTTCCCCGCACTCACGTATCCCACAACCCACGAGTTGGGATGGATGGTGACGGGAACGCCCGGGCCGGCAGGATCGGTCGCTATCCTCTTGAGGCTATCGTGCAGATCCACGCGGTGGGCGTACCAGAGATCGGCGTCGTAGAACTCCTCGTTGTCGGCGTGTGATAGCGTCGACGTGATCTCCATCGTGACGGGATCCTGGAAATGAACAGGCCCAGCCTTGACGAAGCCAGAAGCCTTGGGGTCGAGACCCCATCGTGTGAGAAACCGCGTCGCATTGGGAGGGACGTTGATGGCGGCGCCGACCTCGTTGTCCATGTCAGATCGCTCGTAGATGCGCACAACGTGGCCCGCACGGCGCAACGAGATGCCGGCCGAGAGGCCCGCGACGCCTGCTCCGACAATGACTACGTCCAGCATGGTACTCGTCGCTTTTAGACGAACAGGAAAGGCACGTTTTCGTGTTCAGTATCACTTCTCACTGTCGAATCGTTGATATCGTCTGAAAGATGTCACGTTGACGGAGGAAGAAGCCAAGAAAGAAATCCGTCGGCTTCGGCCTCAGTAGGAGAACCAACACGGGGCCAGGAAGCCGTTGCATTCGCCTGTATCTGACAGGGACCATGTAGGGTTACGACCGCCCTCACTCCGCCAAGACGACCGCGATCTGCGGCGCAACCCGCTCTTTGATGGAGACATAACCCTGTGATCGGGACTCAACGGCGGTACTACGCGAAGCTATTGGACGGTGACCGAAAGAGAGGAGTCTTCGCCATCAACCTGAGGATACTGCCGGGGTCCGTGCAAGAAGGAGCGAGACGGTTGAGAAAACAATAGTTGTCTCGATTCACATATCTTGATATGTAATCTTGTTCATTTGGGGTTTTCGAAACGCACTTGGCAATTTGGAGAAGGTGGACAATAGGTGAGGACATGCCTGAACGCAACTCCAATTTCGTGGACGTTCTAGGTTAAACTTTACATGCCTACTAGTACCGGAGTATTCCAAGTCCTACTCCCTTCCCTAAGTATGTATTTGTTCCGAAGGGGCGACATGCCGACACAGTTAGGCACAGTGACCCAAAACGAGGCCGAACTTTCTATCCGCAATTCTATAGTATTGAGGAACTCACAAGCTGTGGCAGCTCATTCTTGCTTCTCCGAATTTCCAGACAAACAGAGCCAAACGGAGCGCTACCACAGGCGAGCTCCAACGTCGCGGAGAAGGACAGGGCCCGTCAAATGAGTCCCACCGTGGCAACGCGTCGGAGTTCGTCCCTTGGTCCGCTATTGGACCAGACTATCGCGAATGGAGTCCACCTGCAGGTGCCCTTGTCGATTACCGTTGTGCCGAACCCATGTCGGAGAAAATTTGATTCACTGAGAGGGACATGTGGGAGGCGGTTTCATATCCAATGAGTGAGCGGTTTTCAGTTTGATCTTTTCGGCAAAGCAATAGGCAGTTCGGGTATTATCTGACAGCGGCATTCTCGCCAGCGCCAAGACGTGTCCAATTTGAGGTTCCTTGGTTGATTGACAGGACTAGGAAACTCAAATAGCAACCAGATACTTGATAAGATAGTGTGGCCGAGATTACAGGAAACACGAAATGGAGTGCAGCATCTGAAAAGCGTTGGAAGGAATGTTGCGTGCCAGGCGGCGGCCCGCCCACTAGTTCAGCCACCTGCAAGCACAAAGTGAATTTTCTTGTGGTACTCCGTAGCACAATTCATATGTACTGAGTGGTTAGGGAGTATTACGTAGGCCATCCCCTCGGCTCCCATTCATCCAGAGGCCGAGCCCGAGACACATCATGGATTAAGATCCGCCTTATAACGTTGTGGCCGTGCACCCTTGCCGTCTCGGCCGGGGACTTCCGGGCAGCCAAGGGATGGCGGGCCGATCCTTGCAAACGCGAGTTGGGTGAGAACTTCATGAAGTCTGTGCAGTCTGATGATTAGAGATTGACAGGTGAAAAGGCGTGGAAAACAAATATCAAACAACAAGGCTCTAAGACCAACTTACTATTCTTCTAATGTTTAGTGGTTTGTAGCAACCTATGTTGCCTGGGACCATTGAGGGTGTTACCAAACTACTTGGGGGTCTCTCTTCCCAAAAAGAGCCGCATAAATGTGATCGTGAAAAGAAAAACAAGAAGATTGCTGACGCGTGGTATTGCATGACCGCGAAGTGAGTGTGTTAGATCACCATTGTGGCATTCCTGATGTCCGTGGTTTTCATCGTATGCATCGCGACCACGAACCGTGGCAGTAGCAATCCAGTCTAGGGGTACTCAATATTATTCGGCATCGCTCTAGGCTTCTCACGACTCTCGTCACAGGAGCTCAACTTAGCAATCCGCTTAAACTAATCACAGTCGACAGCGGTCTCATAATCAGCACGTAATCGTTTGGTAGGACTATTGGAATCTCGACCTACGTTGTTCTCTTCAACGAGGGCATGAGCCACATGTCCGCAAACATTGCCCAAGCAGTCTCACTAGCATGTTTTGAAGCTGATTATTTTGTATCTCTTTCCATAGCTCTCAATTCTCACAATCAGAGCGCAACCACCCCTGTACAAGGTGCCGCTCATGAGGTTTCCTCTCCCTCTCGATGGGTACGCTTGTGCTTTCAGAAATGTCTGGATCTCGGCGAGTTATTTCGTTGCTCTGGCATCCATCGACGAGTGCACTTCAGGCTCGAGGTTAGGGCCTTAACAATTACCTATTGACTTATGATTACAAGCCTCTGCCTTCCATTTTAATCCCGAGAAAGACTTCAACAATCACGTTAATATCCCTTTGGAAAAGAAATGGATCCAGTGTCTGTGGACGAGTACCCTGATTATGGGTGAGGGCTCACCACATGTAGGCCTGTCGATGATACACGTTGCTGCCTCCCATTCATCGACGAAGAACATCTGTTGCGCCTCAAGTTTTTCACATGCCTACATGAGATTGCAGTGTTGTTGGACTTAAGCATGGTGAACCAACCTCTTCCTGGGTGAACTCAAAGTCATAGATGCCTCGTACAAACTCCTGAAGACTTGGAATTTTTTAAAACCGTCTGAGAAGCTCTTCTTAACCCAATGACTTCATTTTCCAGGTTGAGTCCGCATCAAATGACTAAAGGCTTGTACTTAGCCTTAACATGTAATAGTGCTCTTTGGCTTACCGTAACGCCGAAAGCGGAGTAGGGCTTCGGGAGAGAACGCCGACGGACGAGGTGCGGGGATCGCCCATCTGCAGATGTCCGGCTTACCTCAACGATTGACTCACTCTTGGCAAGTAATTCTAGAGAGCTTATGTGC